GGGTTGTATTTTCGACAGGACATTACAGTGAGTCCACATGTATATCATATAACATAACATTTATGGTATAACATAAAACAATGAAGTAGATTAATATGTAAAAACGATGGTTGTTACAGAAGTAGATTAATATGTAAAAACGATGGTTGTTACACCATTCAATTTTAGTATAATAAAGTGAGTTTCATATGTCTACGAAATAACGTTGATTTTTGGAATTTTTTTCCGGTGTCATTCATTTCCTTCCATACAAAGAATGTTCGAAATTTTTTATATGGAAGAAAATTAACAACACTGTCAACAAAAAAAATTGCCAAAAATCTACGGAAATATGTTTCGGTGCTATAATTATGCACCGCAGTGTACTATTAACTTATTTGACTTGTGTTTATAGCAACTTTGAATTGTTTTTGCTTCCTTTAACAATGTTATCTTATTCGTTATTTATGTGTTAAAATAAATATAAAACAAATTTTTTGTTTTCAATATGGAGAATTTGTCCTCCTGGAATGCTAAAAAGTTCTGGGCCCTTACTCTGTAGTTCCATTCGAAAGGTTGTTCTATTCGAAAGCCAAATTCGAATCGAAGCCCCATTCGTACTCCATAGTTCGTTCGAATCAACTTTCGGAGATATTCGAAAAAAGAGAGCAACACTGTTTGCCAAATGTCAAACGCAAAGCAAAATAAAGAAAGAAACTAAAATCAAAATAAAGAAGATGAAATTGCCAACATTGCGATTGTGAAGATTGTGCATTTAAGAACTCAATTGTTGTGTTAAATTTATTTAATATTAGTGAAAGTCCTTGATAAAAAAAATACCAAATGGATTCAGTGGCGATATGGCTGGAAGCAGATGAAGACCAAGTGGCGGAACGAGTGCAATTGAGAGCGCTTAGGGATAAGGCCAACATATTCACTCTCAATGATAAATGGTAAAAGGATTGGTTTATTTCTATTTATATTTTATGTATTTATAATTATCCCTTTACAGTTTTACGCAAAATTTACGCCTAAACAAGCAAGCGTTTCGGTACGTGCTAAATGCCATTACGCCGGAGTTAAGCACTCCTCGAAAATCGACAGCAATTCCCCCAATTATTAAGCTGGCCGCCGCACTGAAATCATTGGGGCAAGGAGGATACCAACACCAAATTGGTCAAGACCAACACGTAGGCCTTTCTCAGCAATCAATGTCACGCTGCCTCATTGAAGTGTGTAAAGCAGTTGAGAAAAGGCTATGTCAACGACACATTAATTTTGCAAGTACGGACGCAGAGGAAACAGAGGCGAAATTATATTTCTATGAAAATTGTGGAATTCCGGGCGTGTTGTTTGCAATAGATGGCACACATGTACAAATGACAAGACCAACAAGGAATGAGCATTTGTACTATAACAGAAAACTGAAGCACAGTATGAATGCAATGGTTGTAAGTATTGCATTATCATAAAAGTTTTCAACAAAAGGTTTCAAATTAAAATTCTTAGATGTGTGACCACAAGATGAGAATTAGAGCTGTTGACGCGCGATACGGTGGTGGATGCCATGATTCCCATGTATGGAACCTGTCCAGCGAAAGAAGGGCTTTACAATCTCGTTTTGACAATGGCGAGAGAGGGATACGGATTCTTGGTTAGCAGCAAATAATACTTGTGTATCTTTTATTTATTACTAATTGAGTTAAATAATTTAAGGTGACTCAGGATATCCGCTGGAACCATGGATGTTAACTCCTTATCGAAACGCAGCCGAAAATTCAGCGGAATGCCGGTTCAATAATTGCCATGCCAAAGGGCGTTCGATCATTGAACGAGTATTTGGAATGCTGAAAGGAAGGTTTCGATGTCTTTTGGCGCACGGGAACTGCATTATGCTCCCCAAAAGGTTTCAGCAATAATGAACGTTTGCTGCGTTTTGCACAATATTTGTTTGCAATTTAAGGCTGATTTGCAATCTTCAGAAGTATTTCCCTCAGAAGATAAACATTTATTGGATACTGAGAACATTGAGGAAGCGGAAACTAATGCGGCAAATATTTCTAGAAATCTAAGAGACGAAATAAGAAATAGTTTAGTTTCATGATAATAAAAAAACTTTATTCTGTAGTTTAAAAAAAAAAATAGTTAGTATGAAAAACAATTCACAGCCTTTTCGTAGCTTAAATGGTGATTAAAAAATCAGAATATACACCGTATATCCAAAAGTTTTTAAATAATAAATCAAAAACTTAAAATAAATTCATCAGTCTTTTCGCTTTCAAAGGAACTATATACATTAACATAAATAAATTCATTAATAAGCCACACTTAGGACACTTAAACTATATCTAAAACTAATATTTACATTGGAACTCAAAAGGACATTAAGAAATTCATTGTTTTTTTTCAAAACTTAAACCTATACTTAAAACTAATATTCACATATTCTTGCTTTTAATTTTAATTGTTTTAATATTAGTTTGCTTTTCTTTTTTTCATTTTTTTTAAACTCAAACTTCTCTCGCTCTAGTTGAAGTTTGGCTTCTTCTAGTTCAACATTTCTTCTAAAATAATTGCTTAAACTACTTAAACTCTCAATAATTTCTTCTAATTTTTTCACAGAATTTTCATGATATTTACATTGATTTTCCACTTGGTATGTTAATAAATTATCTCTGCCTGGAGGTACTGAGCGTGCACTTATCGGTGGTGTGTTGGTAGGAAGCGCATTGGGTGGGGAGATGGTAGGAAGAACATTGAGTGATGTGTCAGGAGAAAGAGCATTTGGATTATGATTTTCTGCATCCGAGTGAACATCGTTATTTGGCCCCGAGCTTGCAGAATCAAATAAGTTACAAGATGGTGGGTTGGCACCGAAGCGTACTGTTTGAGCCTCGCCATTTATTGCCTCGTCAATGCTCAATAATGCAACCACTTGTTCCTCCGTTGCAGTGAGTGAGCAGAATTTCGATGGCCCACCTCCTGTGCCCGACATGCTCTCTTTGTTTCTTCGCAGCTTAGCTTTGATGTTGCTCTTATAATCTGCCCATATCTACAAAAGTTTAACGCGCGTTACACTAACATTAATGGGAATATAGTACATTTTTTACCTTTTTCCATTCAACAAAGTTGTGAGTTGGAGGTCCAGTTGAATTTAGCTCAGCCTCTAATCATTTCCAAAGATTGTTGGACAATTGTTTTGCAGCTAAACCCTTTATTTGGCCTTTCGCCAAATCACTGTGGTCTTTCATAAAATTCACCATGATTTCGAACTGTCGCGGCTTCGTGTTTGGTTGCTTAACTCTTTCTGCCCTAAAATTGATTTTTCGATGAAAATAACACTTAATTTTTTATTATAACCATAATAACTTACATTTTTGTGGATCTCCGTTTACCAAGTTGTTGCCGAAAAGAATTTTCTAACATTCCACTATTTTGACATTTGCTTTCGAAACAGAGAGTACCAAATATTCGATAATCGAAAGGGGATAAATTAAATTCGAAGGGAACAGAATGGAATTCGAACATCGAACGAATGCTACTCGAAAGGTTCTTTCAGAGTTCGAATTACTCGAAAGCCAACAAATTTTCTTTCGAATCGAACTACAGAGTAAGGGCCCTGGTCACCTTATCATTGAGCACAATGTTCAGCAGTCAGGGATAACTGCCAATTTGAACGGCGATGAAAAAACTAGAGCTGTAGCAAACCGTATGTATTCGTTACTGAGTAACGAATACTACACCTTTTCAAGTTTATAATGAGAAAATACAAATTGATAATGAGAAATGAAAATTCATATTGAGAAAATACAAATTGATAATGAGAAATGTAAACTCATATTAAGAAAGTACAAATTGATAATGAGAAATGTAAATTCATATTGATAATGAGAAACGTAAATTGATATTCGGAAAATACCAAATTGATAATGAGAAATATAAATTTATATTGAGAAAATACAAATTGATAATGAGAAATGTAAATTCATATTGAGTATATATAAATTGATAATGAGAAAACGTAAATTCATAATGAGAAAATACGTACACTCAGGCCTATCGCTGGGTCGTTAGCGAAGATACGGAAGCAAAACCAAGAGGTGTAAGCGACCGAAAAAGCTGACTGAAGACAACGTGATGACTATGTTATCCTGGCTTGAAGGTGACTGCAGTTTTACCCTTGGACAAATACATAAAAAGAAAAGTACAAAACCAGTTTAATGTAGAATTGAGCACCACAGCAGTGGCAAATTATCTCGAGGGCATAAAAGTCCATACGCAACCAATAACCATGAACTCGCAGGATAACAAATTAAAACGAGCCGAAAGTGGTAAACAAATAGCATGGAAGGATGAAACAAATTTTAATTTGTTTTGCCGAATGTCACGTGTCCGGTAAAAAAAATTGGCCACCGCGCCACTCTACAGCTCCCTGCTTCCAGAGGGCCAAACGTCCACTTTATTGATGCAATAACCAGAACTGAAGTGTTACACATAAAAAGGCAAACGGGGTCGCTCACACACAGCGGGGGTGTAAATGCGTTGTCCAACTTTAATTTCGGCTTGTATATATTATAAATTTTTTTGGCAGTGTCCTTTGATGCTTGCTTTAATTCACCTAATATCGCGACATTAGCTCGCAGACTCCAGAGTAATGTACTTGTAGCTCTTCATTGATATAATTTTTTATGTTCTCATTTTCAATTTACATTTTCTCATTAGGAATTTACGTTTTCTCATTATCAATCTATATATTCTCATTATGAACTTACATTCCTCATTATCAATTTATATATTCTCAATATGAATTGAAATTTCCCATTATCAATTTTTATTTTCTCATTATGATTTTATATTTCTCATTATCAACTTATATATTCTCAATATAAATTTACATTTCTCATTGGCTGCGTTTCGTTATACATTCCGGATAATCCCATTTCACAGCCGGAATAAACAGAATGCGTTTGAAATATACGCCAACATATCATCAGGAACGTTCTAAAGAATAAATAAACAAAAAAGTTTATTCCAAACATTCGGAATGAATAAAGAAATGCAGCCATTATGAAGTTGTACTTTGTCAATATGAATTTACGCTTCTCATTATCAATTTGGGATTTCTCAATATGAATTTACAATTTTCGTTACTGAGTAACGAATACAACCCCTGACTCGAAGTACCGAATCGTTACTCACATAATAATCTCGTTACTCGCATGTTCCGTATATGCACCATCAACGTCAATTAATACAACACAACATATTGTGCGGTAACGAAATTGTTTTTCGTATCGATACTAAAGTGTGTTGTCTGTATGTCTGCATGATTCCTGTGAGGTACAAGAGCTTGATTGTATCAAATTGTTCGAATCGATACAAAAATATGTTGCGTGTATACATATGTATATATGTATGTACATGTATGCATATGGAAGAAGGAACATTTCCTTACGCTGCAAGATTTGTTGCGATGATTCTTGAGAGGTACAAGTGCTTGTATCAAAAGTAACGAGTAAAGTAACGATACGAAAGATGCGGGTTGATTGGATTAGTAACGAATACATACGGGTATCCGAAATTTCGTTACTTTTACAGCTCTAGAAAAAACAATTACTTACAGTCAGCAGAAAATTTTTCCGAACAGAAAACGACTAAAATTTTCATTAATTTTCTTATCAGAAAAGACCGTAAAGTTTTAGGTGAACAGTTTTCATTGCCTCCCAAGCGCCGATGATATTCCGCTTTAGTTCTAGGACTTGACAATTTAAATAAAAACTCATTTCATCTTGTGGGTGACCCAAATCATCATCTTTTCGCATTTGTTTGTGTACAAGAGATTTTTTAGGGGCCCAAAGAACGAACACATTTTCTACTGATTTTAGTGACTCCCAACCCGTTTCCATAAGATCATCTGCGCAAATTATTTCCTTTTGCAAGAACTTCATTTCTGAGGCCAATGCTAACGGATCCTTGAAATGAAGCAAGCAAAAAAGATTTTACAATTAATCGATTAATTAAACACAAAACTATGATACAATTAGATCGTAAATTAAACAAAAACAATCGATTAATTTAATCATCAATTAATCCCTAATTTGGACAGCTAAAAGCGAGAAATTTCGTGAGCTATTTTCTAAATAATCACACAAACTCTACTGGGAAAATCGTCAAGTTCGGTTCTATATAAGCTTACGTTTTCGCAATATATCTCCTTTACGTGGGCAGGTAAAACCATTAAATAGTGTTACCGGCTTACATACCGCCCAGCAAAAACCACGATTACCGCAGAAGTTAAAATGGAATCGAATGATTTAGGCGATGGGAATCGCTTACCCTTTCGCTTCAAGAAGGCATTATTTTATTATGGGCATGTCATTGGCCGTAAACCCTTACCCGCAACATTACCTTCGAACAAAGGGAGAACGCATGGATAAACAGCATCCGAGAAGAGAACAAAGAATGCCTAACA